GTTCCCCAGGTGCCTGAGAGAGGGAGCTTGGCAGAGTTCCTGCAGAAACATCCTTGTGAGCTCAGATGGAGACGGGCCCTCACAGGCAGAGAGGATTCATTGCCAACCCGGGGGGCTCAGATCTGAGCTCAGAACCCGGGCAAGGCTCCACCAGCTCGGGCTGCCCCGTGAGGGGCAAAATCATGGAATGGTTTGGGTTGGAAGGGACGTTTAAAGGTCAGCTTGGGCATCACACACGTGGGGAAACCGTGAGCGTCACACATTGGGTAAAACTGTGAGCAACACACACCATGAGCATCACACATCTGGGATAAACCATGAGCATCACACACCTGGTAAAACCATCACACACCTGGGATAAACCATGATCATCACACACCATGAGCATCACACACCTGGGATAAACCATGAGCATCACACATTGGGTAAAACCATGAGCATCACACACCTGGGATAAAACTGTGAGCATCACACACCTGGTAAAACCGTGAGCGTCACACATTGGGTAAAACCGTGAGCAACACACACCATGAGCATCACACATCTGGGATAAACCATGAGCATCACACACCTGGTAAAACCATCACACACCTGGGATAAACCATGAGCATCACACACCTGGTAAAACCAACACACACCTGGGATAAACCATGAGCATCACACACCTGGTAAAACCAACACACACCCGTTTAAAACCATGAGCATCACACATTGGGTAAAACCATGAGCATCACACACCATGAGCATCACACACCTGGGATAAAACTGTGAGCATCACACACCTGGTACAACCATGGGCATCACACACCTGGGTACAGCTATGAGCATCACACACCTGGTAAAACCAACACACACCTGGGTAAAACCATGAGCATCACACACCTGGGATAAAACTGTGAGCATCACACACCTGTTTAAAACCATGAGCATCACACAGCTGGGATAAACCATGAGCATCACACACCTGGTAAAACCAACACACATTGGGTAAAACCGTGAGCATCACACACCATGAACATCACACACCTGGGTACAACCATGAGCATCACACACCTGGTAAAACCAGGAGCATCACACACCTGTTTAAAACCATGAGCATCACGCACCATGAGCATCACACACCTGGTAAAACCAACACACACCTGGTAAAACCATGGACATCACACCTGGTAAAACCATGAGCATCACACACCATGAGCATCACACACCATGAGCATCACACACCTGGTAAAACCAGCTGAGCTCTGCCAAAAGAGAGGAGCCCACATGTCCAGAACACCTTGGAAGTGTCCAAAGCCGGGGTTGGACAGGGCTTGGAGCACCCTGGGCCAGTGGAAGCTGTCCCTGCCCTGTCCCTGTTTTTCCCAACCCAAACCATTGGGAAAAAGCCAAATTCCCATCTTTCCCCTCCTCCCGCCCTCCTGCCTTCATCACCTCCTGTTTTCCCGAGGACAAATCCCCATCTTTTGCCTGTGTGAGGACAAACCCACAACTTTTGCCTGCGTGAGGATGCTCCTGTGGGGATGCTCTGCCGCTCCGTCCCTTCCCGCGTCCCGTCAGCA